AATTGTACTTACACATTTTTCTGTGCAATAGGTTAGTATGCCTATTATGCATAAACAAAACCAGACTTTGATACTTTTATTTACATAAAGCCTATTGTATCTATTAGGAAAATAGTTACCCAGTCAATCATTCACTCGCACCCTTTATTTTAAAAAGCCACATAAGTCCCTAAAGCCCAAGTTCTCAAAATAGGATATGCCAAATATTCCACATATTATATACAATTATGATATTTCTTCTTATACTTTCTCTTGAAATATACCATTAAAGGCCATTTGGTAACTGATCCCATCTTCTGCAAGGATTTAAAACTCATTCTACTTAGTTAAAATCAGTACCTTTATAACCTTTTCTCAGCTGCTTTCATTCTTATTGGTTCCTCACCCAACACATACACTGCAAACACCATGCCACCAGTTTAAATCTCCAATTAGAAAGATAACTAATGCCAACTTTCTAGACTCAACAAATATACCAACAAAGAATAAAACGAGATATAGCAGCATAATAGATTCATAACTTTTTCCCCTCAATGAAGTCATATGACCATAATGAAGGTATTGCAAGACTGTATCTATCTATTTAACAAGTACCAATCTTGGCATATGATTTTGTTTTAATCAGCAATGAAGTGAACATTTAAATTTTATTCTACTTCAAACTGTTTCAGTTTTATTTTTGTTTTGTAAAGCAAACTTGTTTCCAAATCCCTCAAGAATCACTTCCTTCTGTGACACCTACAAGAAATTTCGCAACTAAATGCAGGCTGAGAGGCAGTAGTGTATAGTATAAAATATATATTTTAGACTTGTATGTAGTTTGATTGTATCCTATACCCTCCTATCTTAGGTTGTAAAGTTATTGGGACATGAACCATGTCCTTCTATGTGACTGCACAGTACCAAGCACAACAGGGTCCTAATCCTGCTCATGCAATAGAAAAAGAGCTTCTGAGCTTTTTAAAGGTCACTTCAGTTGCAAAAGTGAAAATGCTGAAGAGTCCATTACAAGTAAATAGCATGTTTGAGACAATTTGAAACAACAAATGTATTATGTAAAGCAGAAACAAGCATCTTATTGGACTCCTGACAAATAAAGATAGGGTGGTAAGCCAGGTTAATGGCGCCCCTCTCGCAGAAATATGCTATTTTTACTATATTTTTTAAAAAGGGAACTGTTAGGTATTAAAGAACTTTAAATGAAATAAGCGTAACACTGGCAAATATCCTTAGTTATTTAATCATCCTGAAAGCAGTGTGGAAGAGTGTGTGAGAGTTCAAAGGTCAAACTCTTCTTCCAGATTCTCCTAAAGAAAGAGAAGAGAACTTTACCTCTAAAGGGTAAGAAAAAAAACCCAGCTGTTTGCCCACTCATCAGCAACAGTTTTAATATTTTTTTTGAAGTATAGAGTATTCTATACTTTGTATGGAAGTCTTGTACTAAGACATTCATTGAATCAAGAATCAGGACAAAAAAGATTGACATAAAAAGGTTACATCCCTCAGAGCTTCTTAATTACAAAACCTCAGGTTCTTGTTACTCAAAATGTACAGTAATCCCCATTTTGAAAGTTAAGTGAAATCAAGAGTTTTCTTTTGAACCACTTTTGCTGTTCAGTGATAACTTACACTTAATTTTTTTTGGTTTTAAAAACCCCAAGCAATCTTATCTATGCAACTTTAAATTCACAACATTATGAAATAAGATAGTTTTGACAAATATTTTGAATATTAGAAATTAGTGTTCAGAAGGTAGTTCTGGGTTTAAAGAAATCTAGAAGCTAAAATGAAGTAACCTTTTGTCAGATGGTCTGATAAAGATGCTGAAGTTGATTAGCTTCCTCTTTCTACCCACCCTCACTGCTTGTCTTCACCTTCCTTGCTTCTCTCTTCCCCCCTACCAAAACAAAGCAAAAACCCCTGATCTATCAAGTCCTGATCCAAATCTCTGAAGCTAGAAGCTTATTATAGTAGCCTTCTTTACAAGAAACACAGGACACTAGTTTTATTGTAAACAACCCCGAAAATTTCACACCCACTTTGAACAAAAATGTCTTTTCATTTTGACAAATAAGGTAGATCAAGAATATGCTGATTTACTTTAAACGTGTGTGTGTGTGTGTGTGTGTATTTAAAGTATATGTAGTATCTGAGAATATGTTTAGTAAAGGAAGTGAAAAAGGTCTCAATGTAGTGAGGTTTAATGAATTCTTTAAAAATAAACTGATTACAGCATGGTAAAGTTATTCTTGTAGATTTTACAGTCAGTTTTCAGAAAGAGTGAGTCCAGTCAATGTAGTAGTATTTGTCTCACTGGAAATTCTGTATAAAACATCTACCTAAAATAAACAAGACTTCTCGGCAAGAATCATCATTAAGCTGCCATTAAGGACACACCTTAAAGTTCTTACCACACAGTAAGCAAGTACAAACTAGTGGTGAACGTTTGCTACTTTTTGAGTGAAAAGTTAAGAGATAAATACTGGATTTAACAACAGATGCTAAGAGAATGTTTTTAAATACAAGTTTATTTTCATGCTAACATTTAAACAGTGCATCTCACACTAAAAAGTTACCCGTTATATTCATAATATATCATATGAACATTCTAACTTACTTGACACCACCACACAATACTAAAAAGGTAAAATGCCTTCCTGCTAAGAACACTTCTGCTCCAGCACTGGAAGGCAGCTGTTATCCTGCCTTTTCTTTTGTTGTGCTTAATCTCACGTCAAGTCATTTAGGCAACTCCAAAGTGATGAAGACATAACTGAATCACCCTTAACTAAAATCAGATCTACGGTTCTTAAATACCAATACTACACATCAATGATTCCCAAAGACCTAACTTTCCCACCTCCATCCAACCCCACAAAAAAAAAAAAAAAAAAGAAGTGTAAAACATACACAAATCAGTAACTCCAGCATAGGCAATAGTTTGCCTGGCTGTAGGTCAAAAAAAAATAATTATTGATAATAGCCACATTTATAAGGAGGAATAGCAAATAACTTCAGAACTTAAAACTTAGAACCTGAAATTTCACAGTGATTTCCAAGAAAAGGCCAAAAGATGTAATGAATTTCAAATATTAAGTCTAGAGATTCAGTATTCTCTATAATATAGAAGAGCCGTTAATATTAGATTATGAAGTCATTAATGATCCATCACGAACTAGCATTGCTACAGATATTAAATATTTACTCCGTTTCACAAAGCTAGTAGGATTTTAAAAACATACTACTTGACTCTTCTTCCTCCCTTTGCTGAAGAATGTAGTTTCCTACTTATTTGCAATTGCTCTTTCATATTATCCAGGAAAATGTTTAAATACATCACAAATTAAGAGTATTACTTTGATTCCCAAACCTAAGTTAATAAAAGAGCTCTTAAGAGTAATAAAACATGGCGTGAAAGCATTTGCAAGCTATTGTTATAGTCCTGTGTTCTGATACCTTTGCAGACACAAAACCAGCCCCCAACAATGTAAGCACTGGTCAGCAAGTCAATGCTTGCTATTCAACTTGTAGTTAGGCGTTTTATTTCTGCGTCTTCCAGATCATATCAGTCCTACATTCAAGGCCTAATAAAATGTGAAGAATATCTTCTCTAATTGCATTTGAAACTGCGTTATTTCCCCGTTCTCTCATACACACTTACAGAAACTTCCCTTTTCACATACTTCTATCACAAAACATCTCCCTGCATCTACTTAGTTCCTATTTCTATTTTTGCTTTGCACTAGATCCTTCTAGTGCTGCCTCTCCTCATACCCACCGAGTGGAAACTGATGTAGATTATAAGCTTTCAAGGTCATTTTACAAACAAACTACCACCGATACCTTAAAATAATTCAAAAAACCTTTAAACACACTAAACGAAGCCCTTTTCAAATTCAAACTCCTTTCATCAGTAGATCAATAACTCAACTTAAAGAGATTTTGTTGGCTACCACTTCAGAACTATTACACTTCAATTCAAACACTTACAAGAAGTCACACACCATATTTTATAGGATGGCTCACTAGAGCCCATACAGAAGAGCTTGTTTTGGCTTTAGAATTTCTGTATGTGAAACAAAACCAACCCCCCCCCCCACACACACACACAGAATAGAAATACATACAATCATTTTTTAAAAACCCAATATCGCCCAACGGATATTAAGAAAGGGGAGTGAAATCAAATCTCCGAACACTTAAAGAACTGTATTGTCCTCGTTTGGAAACGTCTTTTGTTGTTGTAGAAACCAGTGGGGGTTTATTTATTTATTTTTAAAACTTCCTATTTCCCATAGTTTAAAGCAAAAGAAAAGAAGCACAATACCCAATACATCATCAGGAGCTTCTCAGACTTCACATATCAGGCAGTAAAATGAAACAAAAAGAAACTGACAAGACTGATCAATAAACTTTTCATTACCAAATCTCTTCTCCTCCGCCCCCCGATAAGCCACACACACTACAAACCAAACCCTTCTTCCAGGAACATCCCTGACTCACAAAGAAATGTTCTCTTCTCTTCCCTCCCGCCCCCCGACATTTTGAATATTTAAAACAAATACCCAGGTATATAATGGAAGTTTGAAGCACCTACTTACACAGAGTAAGTGGGAGAAGGGGGGGCACGGAGGGAGGGGATCCCAAGCTGCAGAGAGGGAAATCAGAGATCGACAACTTTATAGGTGGGAGGGAAAAGACGAGAGAAGAGTCTTGCTCTGCCTTTTTTTCCTTCCTCCTCTTCCTCCCTCCCAAGGGCTTATACCCAGGTATATAATGGAAGTTTGAAGCACCTACTTACACAGAGTAAGTGGGAGAAGGGGGGGCACGGAGGGAGGGGATCCCAAGCTGCAGAGAGGGAAATCAGAGATCGACAACTTTATAGGTGGGAGGGAAAAGACGAGAGAAGAGTCTTGCTCTGCCTTTTTTTCCTTCCTCCTCTTCCTCCCTCCCAAGGGCTTGGGGGGGGGGGGGGAGAGAAAAGGAAGAGATTTTTTTACCTGCTGTTCCTTCTCAATTGCCGGCTGGAGGATGAAACGGACAAACACGAGAGTTGTGGCTTGAATGAAAAAAAGAAAGGGAGGGATTGGGGGCTGTTGTGCTTTACTTCCACACACCTGCCCCTCTTTTCGCCTCTGCTCAGGTGGAGGGGAAGGGGAGGGTTATGTGCTTCCCCCCCAACACACACCTGCCCCCCAACTGGGGAAGAACCAATACCTCTACCCCACCTCCTGGAGAAAGAAGGAAGGCGCCAAGATACCACGGTGATGGGCCACCTCACGGATTTAAGATGCAGAACAGCGCCCTATCTCCCGCGCCTGCTCCTTCTGGGGGAGGGGTACGTCCTCTTCGCATGAGGCCCCCCCATGTATGCACACCCCTCCCCCTTCTCAGGAGGGGCTGCTGCGCAGCTGTTGTGCCGCCCCCCCCTCGAGCCACGCCCCCTCTCCGTAGCCCCGCCCACTAGAAGGCCCCTCCCCTTGCTTTTCCTTCTTCAACCGCCTTGCAGCGCTTCACTGGGGGTGGAGCTAGGGAAATGTAAAGGGGGGAGGTGAAGAGAAAGAAACTAGGGAGTTGGCTGGAGAGATAGTGGCGGTAGAACAGATAGGGGAGGTGTAGGGGGCAAAAGGGGTGGAGCAGAGGGCAGGCCGTAGCCCCGCCCACTAGAAGGCCCCTCCCCTTGCTTTTCCTTCTTCAACCGCCTTGCAGCGCTTCACTGGGGGTGGAGCTAGGGAAATGTAAAGGGGGGAGGTGAAGAGAAAGAAACTAGGGAGTTGGCTGGAGAGATAGTGGCGGTAGAACAGATAGGGGAGGTGTAGGGGGCAAAAGGGGTGGAGCAGAGGGCAGGACAGGGAGGGAATGTAGGAGAAGGGGCAAAAGGGGAGCAATTGACATGGAGGGGGCAGAAAAGGGAAGACTCAAGGGGGAGGAAGGGAGCAGATGCAGAGTGCAAAATATTTTTTAAATTGTAAATACATTGAATAATTAGTAGGTTAGGCTGGAAAGAGACATAAACTGCCCTTAAAGTGCTAAGGAATAATTGCTCCTTTTTGGCCTGATTCCCAGGGGTGCTGTGCAACTACAGCTCTTGTTGACAAAAAGGGGTGCTTAGCTCTTCTGAAAAATCAGACCAATCTTTAATTTTGCTGTGGAATGGGGGCCATTAACACCATTTGAGTTGTTTTCTTTGTGCTATCCAATAACTCCATTTTGAGGGAGCTGTGTAAGAATAGGATTACTTGCTTCTATATTTCTCTTAAATGGCTAAGAAATCAAGGGCAAATTAGTTTTCATTCTTTTATGTGTTTTGTAATTCAGGAAGATAGCTATCTTCCTGAATTACAAAACACATAAAGGAACTATTATTCTAGTATACTGTAAGGCTTTATATATATTATACACAAGCACACAATATAATCTAGATTAATAGTCCACAATAGCAGTATTATAAGGCTCATTGTTTTGCTAACTTCCATTACACTATACCATGGTAAATGTGAATAACATACATGTGAGTTTTTCATTAGCTTCCTGTTGTGATCATTCTGGGAAAACAGAGACATTTTTTTATCTTGCTAGTAGTCTCCAGATGACCACTGGCTACTGCAGAATAATTAAAGTTTAGAACAGATTCACATTTTTACACAGCAGAGAAACACACCCATATAAAATAAGGCAGCAGATACACAATGTACTGCGAGTCATCACAGTCTTGCTTAAGAAAATTAGTGAAAAATTAATGAAAGAGGATTTTGGAACATACCTAGTGGAAAGAAATGGTAACACTAAAAGAAAAGAGAACATGAGCTTATTCCACACTCTTGCAACATATGATGGTTGCTCAAATAAATTTACTCAGTTGCTGATGTTGGTGACTTATGTTTCTTTAAAAAGATTTTAGCCTGTGCTGTATGCCAAAGTGGAATAAACTCAGTAAAGAAGCAAGTAAAGGGGAGATAAAATAATATTTAAGTGTCTGTGCTCCAACTGTGTTTTAGATGCTATAATTAAATCGAACTCATAATACTGTTAGCAAAGCATTTAGCAGTCTCAGCTGGCCCCTGATGTTAGCACCTTATTGAAGTGAACGATGTGAGGGAGGAGTGAGTTCCCAGTTGGGTTGCTTCTCTTGTTTTCCTGGAGACAGTTTAAGAGACTTGAATTACAGCTCATTGAAATCAGTCCTACACTTCAGTGGGCTTTGGATCAGACCCATGTTTCTAATAGGCCCTATGTGTATCATTTTAAAATTATTCTGTTTTAAACAGAGGAAATCCCTAACGTTGATGCACTAAAACTGATGTGCTAGCTATCAATTTTTAAACCACAATTTGTTCTCCTAGCCAAAACTGGGCCCCAGTATTAAACTAGAAGGCTGTGTCTAGACTGGCCAGTTTTTCCAAAAAATCAGCTGCTTTTCCGGAAAAACTTGCTAGCTGTCTACACTAGCCGCTTGAATTTACGCAAAACCACTGACTTCCTACTGTAAGAAATCAGTGCTTCTTGCGGAAATACTATTTTGCTCCCGTTCAGGCAAAAGTCCCTTTTGTGCAAAGCTTTTGCGCAAAAGGGCCAGTGTAAACAGCTCAGATTTGTTTTCCGCAAAAAAGCCCCGATCGCGAAAATGGCAATCGGGGCTTTTTTGCGGAAAAGCGCATCTAGATTGTCACGGATGCTTTTCCACAAAAAATGCTTTTGCAGAAAAGCGTCCATGCCAATCTGACGCTCTGTTCCAAAAATGCTTTTAACTGAAAACTTTTCCGTTAAAAGCATTTCCGGAAAATCATGCCAGTCTAGACGCAGCCGAAATGAAAATTGACAGTGGTGTAAATTAAACAGTCGTAGGATCAAGCAAACACCTTTCTCAAACTTTTAATATGCTGTCTTGCTTACCTGGATTTTTACCTCATTGATGGCTCTGAGCAGAGGAAATGACAGTTATTGGCACACAAAGAGCTATTCTACTGGATGGGTTTTTATGTGTTCTGTTTTTCATTATTCATTGGCTTGGGGAAAAATCCCTCTAGTGTAGCCTAGGCCAGTGGTCACCAACCAGTAGATCGGGATCTACCGGTAGATCTTAGAGCCTCTGACAGGTGATCCTAACCGGTTTGGCCGGGAGACTATCAAGCGCTGGCACTTCAGCTGCCCCTCCTACCACTGCCCAGCTGCTCCTGCCCTGAGCCTCAGAGCTGCCCCTGGGAGCTTCCTGCTTGTTGTGCAGGGTGGGGGAAACAGAGGCAGGGGTCATTGATGTCACACTGTCCCCCTCCTCTGTACCCCATATTTATAGAGTGAGGGCAGCGGGTCCTCAGCCTAGGGGTGGAGCAGGGGGATTTGGGTTTGAGGTAGATCCTGGATTGACTTAAATTCAAAAAGTGATCTTGTGCTTTAAAAGGTTGGAGACCACTGGCCTAGGCAATAGCTTGATAACAAGGGCTAACTTTAAAAGTTTATTTATATTCCTATATCCTAACCCTGTAAACTGCTCAGAGAGGAAGACCCTCTGTTCCCACACGGAGCCCCTCGAAGTCAAAATATCCCTATATGGATCATCTTACAGGATTAGGCTCTTTGAATTGTTAATGCAGAGTATTGTTTCAATGGGTGGTTTTTTTTGTTTGTTCTTTTTTGCAACTTTAAGCCTCAATTTTGCCACTAACTTTGTGAAGAGTCTCAGTGGAAGTTTTGGGGGATGCAGTGGTTGACCAAATACAGACTTAAATGCAGGATCAGCCTTTTAGGTATTTTTTTAACTCTATTATTTATTTAGTGAGGTGTTTGTGCACCTTTATAGAATTTTGTAGCATGTTGCCGGAACTTCAAGATGGCAGCAGCATAACAGAGCATTAAGTAGCATACTGTAGCCTTAATCTTTGTGTGTGACTGTGCTGCCAACTCCAAATATTTTAGAGCTTTTAACATTCATATTTGCAAGTTTCAGGAAAACACCATATATCATGAGACACAATAAAATTGCAAAAGTTGGCAACATTGCTTGAGCTAGAGACACATAAACAAGCGTTGGGTTTTTTTTCCATTTGTTTGTTTGATTTTTTTTTTAAACTCTTCTGGGATGAAATCTTGCTTTAATGATTTGAAGGGGGATGGGTGTTCCATTGATCTCACTGGGATCAGGCTATTACCTATAGTGAGCGTAAGCATGATGTAAGAGGAAATACAGAAGCTGCATATATTTGAGTCCATTATGATATGCAATAACTGGAGAAAAGATTGTGATATTGCAATGCTTCTTTCTATATAAATTTTAAACATAGGCTCCAGTCCTGCAAACGTATGCATAACTTGTTTGACATGAGTAGTCTTCTGTAAGGATATATTTACTCTGCATACTTATTTTGGAATAAGCTATTCCAGAAGAAATACTCTGAAATAGCTTATTTTGAAATAGTGCATCTATACTACGAGGAAATCTTGAAATCAGTCCGAGGTAGGCTCCCCTAATGTGGATGCACTACCTCGATTTAGAGCATCAGGAAGCACTGGAGAGTAATTACTTTGAATGGCCTTAGGAAGGAGCTATTTCGAAATCGCAGCAGTGGAACGTCCGCAATACAGCTATTTTGAAATAGCAGTTTTGGAAGAGGCATTATTCCTTGTGGAATGAGATTCACAGAAATTGGAATGAGCTGTCCGTTATTTCGAATTTATTTCGAAATAACGGAATTGCTGTGTAGATGCTTGCATTGTTATTTCAGAATAACGGCTGTGCTGAGTAGACGCACCCTAAATGAATGCCATTACTCCCATGAATTGTTTGTAGAAGTGGGGCCTAAACATGTAATAC